GCGGTTGTGTCATCGGACTCGCAAGGAGAAGCAGGGCCCGTTAGGCCAGAATGGGGCGAGATTTCGGTCTCCTCGGTTCACCAAAGTGGTACTGTTAGGCCAAAAGGAAGCGGTGGCGTCTCGAGCCCCCGCCCCCTCCCGGGCAGCCATTCGGGCCCTGGATCACAGCAGCGCCCCACAGTAACGGATTCGCAAGGAGAAGCAGGACCCGCGAGGCCATCTTTCAGCTGCAGCAGTCCCCTGGGAAGTCTACAGGTGGAAGCAGGGCCCGTTAGTCCAGAAGGGAGCGGATACGTTCCCCACGATTCTGACGAAGAGGTACCCTTGCACCCCTGCATCCGTGTGTCCTTTGGCGAACGAGGCACCCTTTCATCCCAGTGTCCTAGTCCAGGCGCCCTCGCGGGCCCCCATGGCAGCCAGCAGACCTCTGCAAGAGAAGCAGGGCCCGTTAGGCCAGAAATCAACGCTGCGGTTGTGTCATCGGACTCGCAAGGAGAAGCAGGGCCCGTTAGGCCAGAAGGTGGCGAAGTTTCTGTCTCTTCGGTTCACCAAAGTGATATTGGGCTCGTTAGGCCAGAAGGAAGCGGTGGCGTCTCGATCCCCCGCCCCCTCCTTGGCAGCCATTCGGGCCCTGGATCACAGCAGCGCCCCGCAGCAGCGACCTGCGACCGCCCTGGGGGGGGGGGCCGCTGCGGGGGGGCGCGCGCCCTCCCGACAGAACCTCCACAGCCATCAGAAAACCGCACCTCGGATCGGACAGCGGCGCGTTGGAAGGACAGCCATCCCCGACGGAGGTGGATGACAGCAGCGCCAGTCCCCTGGCGACAGCCCCCTTGCGTCAGCAGCAACAGCAGCAGCAGCGGCAGTCCCTGGGTGACATAATCCCAATTCAGACACTCCTGGACACAACGTCGTTGCTACAGCTGGCAGCGCCGCAGGGGGTGCGCCCGCGCTCGGAGACGCCCCTCGCAATTTGGGCATTCAGGAAGAAGTCTCCCGAAGGTCGGCCGTTGCTCGTGGAAGGGGCGCGCCCCCTCCTGGAGGCAGCGTCGTGGCGACACTTGACGCCCTACTGGGCGCCCCTGGCGGCCAGCAGACCTCGCAAGAAGAGATAAGGCCCGTTAGGCCAGGAGGGAACGGAGCGGCCGTGACACCGGATTCGCAAGGAGAACAGGGCCCGTTAGGTCTTCTTTCAGCTGCAGCAGTCCCCTGGGGAGTCCACAGGTGGACGTCCGCCACAGCGCGTCAGTCCCTTCCCCTCCCGGAGATAGGCAAACCGACGCTCCCACTGCCCCTCGCTCCTATCAGCGCCCCGGGGGCAGCGCCGTGGAGGAGGCCGAAGAAACGCCCATAATGGCGCCCACTCGCGGCGACGGTAGCGCGGCGGCAGTCCAGAAGGCCGCAGACGGAGCGCCCGGAAACGGGGACCTACCACGCAGAACTGAGAGCCAGGATGACGTAAATCGAACAGCGGCCGTCAGCTGCTACAGTGCTTGCGTCGGGGGTGTGGAAGGAGGCGCGACTGACCGTGACACAGGGCATCCACGACTGGCTGGCTCGCCCGACTCCTGGATTTGCGTGCGGGCCACAGACGGGCGCGTCTTCGCGATCGGCGCAGACGCTCCGTCCGGCGCCCCCGAGGCCACCCCCGTGGCCGACGGCGTATGCGGAGTTCGCAGCCTGGAGAGCCTGGGGCTGTCGTTGCATCCGGTCGGGGGCGAGACCCAGCGACGCCCCGCCCCTGGTGCACTCGAAGCCCCTTCGCCGGGGAACAACGGACCGGCCTTGCAGAGGAAGGACAACGGGGCCATCCGCCAGCTTGTCGACAGGAATCCCTACGCGCCCATTCGCCCTCCTTCCCCTGGCAGCGAGTGCGCCCGAGCGGATAGCGAACCGCAGCCAGTCCCTCTCGAAACCCGGGACTTGCTGGGGATGGCGACGCACGCCCCGAAAGAACCTGTGCCTGACAGCGCGCCTGCGCCCGGAGCGACCCGCAGCATTCCCGCATCTGGCGACCGCCCCGCGGTGACGGGTGGGGGCGCGCCCGCGAGCGAGGACAGGCGCAGGTCCGAAGGCGGGCGCCATCGACAGGGGCTTGCCCCCGTGCGCCACAGAGCAGCGCTCCCCTCTGCCCCAGCTGCCGGAGGCGATCCGGCCCTTGCCTAGAGGCCGACCGCGCGGCCCGCACCGACGCGCATGGCCTCGCTGGGCGTTCCTGGCCTAGCAGCCGTCGTGCCGCGCGCGCGAAGCCATGGGCTACTCTGGCGGCGGGCCCAACCAGGCGGAGCTGTCGCAGAGTAGCAAGCGAGAGCAGCATGCGGAGCAGGGGCCTGAGAAGCCCGACGAGAAGGATGCGCCCGCCGCCCGCGGGGAGGGCGCGGGGGCGGTGCCGGCGCAAGAATCGGAGCAGGGGCACGAATTGGCAATCGCCCGCAGCCATTCTCCCACGGCCGGCTCTCAGCACCCTGGCCCTGCCCTCCTGGCAGCGGCGCGACCTCGAGCACCGAAGAACGGCGACGGCCAGGCCGCAACGTTCCTCCAGCGCGCTCGCCCGGCAACGGGTGGGAGCCCTGCCTGGCCGCGGCGACTGGCGGCTTCCCAGTTTCCCTGCCGCCCTCGGGTCGAAACCCGGCCCCCTGGCGACGCCGACGCCGCTGGCGGGCCCGGCGCGCGGCAAACGACAGGCGGCGGACGCAGCAGCAGCAGCGGCAGCAGAAGCAGAAGCAGCGGCAGCCGCCGCCGCTCCAAGGACCAGCTGTCGACTACCCCGCCTCGGGAAGCGAGGCCCGCCGCGCGCCGAGGGCCTGGGCCCTTGGGCTCGACGCTGAACAGCAGTTGCATAATACCAAGATCAGCTGCATCCAGTGGGGCCTCCCGGGGAGGCCCCTGGCGAGACGATGAGGCGGCGCCAAGCCACCCTGGGTGCGATGTTCACAGGCGCCGGCACGCGTTCGCCAAGCGGCACGTCGAGGGCGCAGTCGACCCGCTGCGGCGCGAGCGTCAGCTTCCTGCGCTCCTTCCGCAACCGCAACTGCGATGTGAGGGCCATGAGCGACGCGCTGAACCTCGGCATCAATTAAGCTCAGGTGCAGCAGCGGTGGCCGAGCCGCAGAGACGGCGCGGGCAAGGGGCGCCAGGTGACGAAGGGCCACTCTGACAACCGTGCCCCCAGGAAGGGCAAGACGCAGGGGAAAGGTTGTCAGCCCTAGCCCGCCCGCCCTCGTCTCGCCCTTGTCGCCCGCCTTCTTGCTGAAAGTGCCGCCCTCAGCTACTCCCCGGTGCCCTGGTTTGCCGGCCCGTCTCCGCCTGCCCCTCCCAATGCTCGGAATGGCGCTCTCAGCGGTCTCGCAGCGAGAAGCAGGGCCCGTTGGGCCTGAAGGATGCGGAGTGTCAGCCCCCCCCATCCTCTGCCTGGCGAACGAGGCACCCCCTGCGTCCGATGTCCGCGCCCTCTCGTCCACGTGGACAACCCCGGCGGTAGCCGGAGCTCGCGGGGAGAAGCGGGGCCCGTCAGGCCTGGATCGGGGGAGCGTAAGACCCGGGTTTGCCGGGACTCGGGTTCGCCATCGTTTTTTGACGACCGCGACTCGGATTTTGACGAGGAGGAGTTTTGTGGGATGTCTGCAGCGGGAGGCCTCGTCAAAATGCAGGCTCGGCCTCGTCATTTTTTTGACGACCTCGTCGGGGATTTCCGAGTCCCCCGTACCCGGGTCTTACGTCTCCCCGACTGGAGGAGGGGGGGCGGCAGCCTCGACCGACTCATCAAGTGGAACTGGGCCCGGTAGGCCAGATGGAAGCGGGGTGGCCGGCTCTCCCCCTCCCCTCCCAGGCGAGCGAGGTGCCCTTGACATCCGCCCTCCGCGCTCTGTCGTCCAAGAGTGCACCCCGGGTGGCCTGCTGGCCTTGCGAGGAGAAGCCGGGCCCGTCTGGCTTGGGGGAGGCGGGATGGCGCTCTCGCCGGTCTGCAACGGGAAGCAGGGCCCGTGGGGCCAGAAGGAAGCGGAGCGGCCGCCCCTTCCCGCTCCCTTACAGGCGAACGAGGCATTCCTAGCATCCGACGTCCAAGTCCTGTCGCCCTCGTGGATAACCCTTGTGGTCATCGGATCCCTCGAGAGAAACTGGGCCCGTTAGGGCAGGAAGGGGCGGGGGCCCCGCGTCATCGTTCTCACCGAGGGGAACGGGGCCCGTTAGGCCGGAATGAATTGGGGCGACAGTCCCCCCCCATCCCCCCGCAGGCGATCGAGGCGCCCCTGGAATCCGAAGTCCGAACCCTGGTGCCCATGCGGGCAACCCTGGTGGTCAGCAGTCCTCACGAGGAGAGGCAGGGCTCGTCGGGCCAGAAGGGGGCGGAGGTTCGGTTTCAGCGTCCTCGCCAAGAGTAGCAGGGCCCGTAGGCCAGAAGCGGGCTGCGCCACGACGACAGGGTTGCAGCCTTCCTTGGCACCTCCCTGCAGCGAGGCGCGAGAAACGGGCCAGGAGAGACAGCCGTCAGCCGCGGCGCAGGCATCGACAACGGGTCTTGCCGCCCACCCCCTCCGACCGATTGACGGTGCGGCGTGAGAACAGCCTGCGCCGGCGGGCGTGGGAGACCCGCCCCCTGTCCGCCCTGTCTCGGACGAGGCTAACAGCCGAGGCCCAGGCGGATTAGCCGCGCGCGGCTCAGGACAGCGTGCCGCCGACTCCTGACCGCCCCCGTCCGTTCCCCCTCTCCCCGCAGCCCTCTGCTTTCCCCCTCTCCGCGCCCTGGCTGCCGGCAGGGTCCGTTTGCCCAGAGGGGGGGCGGGGTGGCAGCCCCGCCCCGTCCTCTCGCAGGCGAACGAGGCACCCTCTGCGTTCGACGTCCGAGCCCGCGCGGCCACGCGGGCACCGGAGCTCGCAGGAGGAGCAGGGCCCGTTTGTTCAGGAGGAAGTGGGTCGACAGCCTCATCTGTCTCAACAAGAGGAACTGGGCCCGTTTGGCCTGAAGGAAGCGGAGTGACAGTCTCCCCCTCCCCTCCCAGGCGAACGAGGCGCCCTTGGCATCCGACCTCCGCGCTCTGGCGTCCAAGGGTTCACCCCTGGTGGCCTGCAGACCTTGCAAGGAGAAGCGGGGCCCGTTTGGCTTGGAGAAGGCGGAATGGCGCCGGCGCCTGTCTTACAGCGGGAACCAGGGCCTGTTGGGCCAGAAGGAAGTGGAGCGGCATTCCCTGCCCGTCCCTTCACCGGCGAACGAGGCGCTCCTTGCATCCGACGTCCATGTCCTGTCGTCCTTGCGGGCAACCCTGGTGGTCATCGGATCCTTCGGCGGTGCTGCAGACCCCCCCATCCTCGCGCAGGCGATCGAGGCACCCTTGGTTCCCGCAGTCCGTGCCCCGACGCCCGCGCGGGCAACCCTGGTGGCCAGCAGACCTCGCAGGGAGAGGCAGGGCCCGTCTGGCCAGAGGGAGACGGAGGTTCGGTCTTAGCGTCCTCACCAAGAGAAGCAAGGCCCGTTAGGCCAGAAGCGGGCTGCGCCGCGGCTTTTGGGTTGCAGCTCTCCTTGGTACCTCCCTGCAGCGAGGCGCGTGGAACGGGCCGGTCGCGACAGCTGTCAGCCGCGGCGCAGGCTCGTCAGCGGGCCCCGCCGCCCGCCCCCCCGACTGATCGACGTGCGGCGGGAGGACAGCATGCGCCGATGGACGTGGGAGGCCCGCCCCCTGTCCGCCCTGTTTCGGTCACCCTCGGCGCGTCTCTCCCCCGCGCCCCCGGGTGCCGTCCCGTGCCGGGGTGGCCCCCCCGCGGCTGGGCTCCCGGTTCCCCTGCCGGAGTCGGTGGGGCCTTCTCCCACCTGCCCCCGGCTTTCGTTCCCGCGCAAATTGCGGTTTCGTCTCCCTTGCCGTCTGTTCGCGTCGGTCGCCTTCCCTGGCGTATCAGCCTCGGGCTGCGCCCCCTCTTTTTGGGGATCGGGTGTGCGACTTTCTTGGCGCCACCACTCGCGCCGCCAGGCCCTGGTTGGCATGTTGGGTCACCTTGAGGTGCTACCCTGGTCACACCGCGGTGCTTTCACGCGCCATTTTGGCCGCTCCGCAGCTTTGCTGTCCAATTCATCCGCGCCCAATTCGTGTCGTGGCGGTTGGTTCACCTGGCGTCGGCCGCCCTGGTACCTTCTCAGCGTTGGGGGTGCTTTCCTTGCATCCAATTCGCTCGCAGCTTGCAGTCCCTGGCCGCCGGCCACCCTGGCAGTCAGACTCCCTGGCCGCCGGCCACCCTGGCAGTCAGACTCCCCCTGCAGCTGTTGCATGCGGGCACGCAATCCACTTGCAGCTTACTGACCCTGGCAGCCGGCCACCCTGGTTGTTTGCTGCCCTCCGCAGCTCGTTGCATGCCGCCCTGCCTCCAATTTACCCGCAGCTTGCGGGCCCTGGCAGTCGGTCGCCCTCGCAGTCAGCCCTTGCAGCTCGTTGCATGCGTGCACCCTGGCAGCAGCCTGCCTTCACTCGCCGGCCTGGCCGCCGAGGTGCCGCGTGAGGCTTCGGCCGATTGGCTTTAGGTTCATTCGTTTTTGCGCGCCCCGCTTTGACTGGACACGCCGTCGGCGCCTTCGCCTGCGGCCGTTGACTAAAAAGTATCCCCACCAGTCAGCCGTGAGTGCGCTCGCTGGATAATTAGGTTTCGCCCGTAGCCCGGGACGACTTCTGACGCCGCCTGCGCCTTCGCTTGCGGCCGCGACCAAAAAGTATCCCCACCAGTGCATCCAGGGGAGTTGAGGTGATCAGGGAAGTGGAGGAGCGTGCAGAAGAACAGTGGGCGGGGGATGCCGTCATATACCCCAAGAGGGGGAGGATGGAGGAGGAATCGTAGTCGTCGTCGTCGTCGGAGGAAGAGGGGGACGAGGAGGAGGATGAGGATGAGGATGGGGATGAGGATGAGGAGGAGGAGGGGGAGGGGGAGGGGGAGGAGGAGGAGGAGGAGGAGGAGGATGAGGAGGAGGATGATGAGGTGGAGTAGGGCGAGGACGAGCAGGACGACACGGAGGTGAATGATGATAAAGATGGAGAGTTGGTTACCTCTTCATCCTCTTGAGGCCTCGTATGGGATCTCTAAGGAGCCTCTTGGAGGCCTCTTGGGGCCGTCTGGGCGCCTCTTGGGGTCCTCTTGGTGCATTCTTGGGAGCTTCAGGGGCGCTCTTGGGGCCATCTTTATCTTTGTGGACACCGATGAGCAAACAGGGTAGCTCCAATTACTTTCCCTCCTCGGGGGCACCGATGATCGCCTCCTGGACCCCTCGTTGGGCGCTTTTGGGGCGCTCTTGGGCGCTCTGGGGGCCGTCCTGGGTCTCTCTTTGGCATCTTGAGGCCTCGGACGGCCATCTTGGAGCATGCTGGGAGCCATCTTGAGGCATCGTGCGCTATCTTGAGCCATCTTTGAGCTTATCTTGGGCTCTCATAAGCCCTGTTGGGGCCGTCTTGGGCCATCTTGGACGCTCCAACGCCTCGCCCCGCCCCCCCCGTCCATTTTCAGGTGAGAGGGTAGGGGGAGGGGTAAACCCTTTCCCGAAGGGGACGAAGGAGGTTGGAAGCAGAGCCCCCCTAGACTATACGCCCAGAGGGCTAGTGGGATTGCAGCAGTTTTGTGGACGGAGGGCCAGCCGCTCTCGGAATGGAGCTCTCGCATTAACGTCGCGCGCATTCTTCTCCTTGAGACGTTGCAGCAGTTTCACGGATGGAGCGGATGGTTTGTGGTTCTCGCTGTAACGTCGCGCGCATTCGTTTCAGCAGTTCGCACCAGTTTCACAGATGGAGGTGGAGATGGTTTTCACAATGTGGCCCTGTGGCCCTTGCGTTAGCAGCGCCATGCGCATTCGCACCAACAGTTTACAGCAGCTTCTCGAATGGAGGGCGATTCCTGTGCCGCGCACATTCGTCTAGGCAGCTTGCAGCATTTTCACGGACGGAGTGCGGCTTATTCTTTGCTTCGCTCATTCCGCCGGCCCGTATTGTGCCATCGCAGGCGTTTGCTTGCGCGTTCGTGGCCTCTTGGAGCCTCGGTGGGGCCGTTTGGGGCCTCTTGGCGCCTCTTTTTATGCCTCTTGGAGAACTCGGGAGGCCTCCAGGGGGCCTCCTGAGCTCTCGTGACGGTCTCTTGGGGGGCTTTCGGCGGGCTCTTGGCGGTATTTGTTGGTCCTCTTGGGGCCTGGGGCCTGACGTTGTTGGTCCTCTTGGGGCCTCACGGGAGCTTATTGGGGCGTCTTGGGGGTGTCTTGGAGAGTCTCTTGGGGCCTCTTTCGGGGTCCTGGGCGCCTTCTGGGGCGGAGGGCTCGATTTTTCAGTTCTCGGTTCCCTTCTTGAGCCCCTCTTGGGCCCGTCTTGGGGCCTCTTGGTCCGCCTTGGGCAGCACTTGGGCCGTCTGGGGGGCGCTCTTGGGCCGCTCCGGGGCCGTCTTGGGAGCCTCGTGGGCCGTCTTGGAGCAGTCTTGAAGGCCTCTTGGGCCCTCTTGGAGCGTCCGGAAGCGAAAAGGCCAGAACGCAAAAAAACATAGAAAAAACAATGAAAATCAACGATTTTGGCAACTTGGGGCCCTCTTCGGAGGCCTCTTGGAAGGCCCTTGGAGCGTCTTGGAGGCCTCTTGGGCTGTCTTGGGGCCATCTGGGGCGTCTTCGGGCGATCTTTGGCCGTCTCGGGCCTCTCTTGGACCGTCTAGAAAGCTTCTCGGGGCCCTCTTGGACCGATCTGGAGCCCTCTTGGACTCCGAAACAGAACTCCGGCATCTCTGACCCGACCTTGCCGGGGACTTGCCGGGACCTTGCCGGGGTACTTTTCGCCCGGGGACCCCCAGGGGCCGCCCCGCGCGCGCGAACTAGAAATACTGTTAACCAGGTACCGGAGATCTTAGCACGCCCTGGCCCGTTGGGCCGGCGAATTTTCACATTGTGGTTCTCGCTTTAGCTTCGCGCAAGTTCATTGTAAAACCGTGCAGCAGTTTCATGGATGGAGGTGGTGTGGGGTGGTTTTCAACATGTGGTTCTCGCTTTAGTGCCGCGCGCAATCGTTTTCAAACGTTTGCAGCAGTTTCACGGATGGGCAGCGGGAGGTTTTCAAAATGTGGCTGCGCCGCGCACGTTCGTCTTCCGCAGTTGCCGCAATGTTTGAGATGGAGGGGGGGAGGGTGGTGGTTGAAGGGTGTGGGTGTTTTCAAAGTGTGGCCTTCGCCTTAACGCCGCGCATACTCGTTTTAAAGCCTCGCACTGTCGTCACGGAGTTTTTTTTTTTTTTGGTTATTTTTGGTTCGTTTTTTGGTCAAAGTGGGGTTCTCATCTTATCGCCGCAAACAGTCGTTTCACATTCTTGCAAGAGTTTGAGGAATTGAGCATTGCTTGTTTCCAAACTGTGGCTCTCGCCTCGGCTTCGCGCGCATTCGTTTTTCAATTCGACGTTGAGCAGGCGGGGAGATGGCTCTTTCTCCCAAACTGAGTTGCTGCTTGAGACTTCGCTAAGTGGAAAGACTGGAAGCTCCAACGTGCGTAGGGCTGCAGGGATCTATGGCGATTCTTTGTTTCAGTGGAGCTTTCGCTTGGAACTTTCTCGAAGCTCATGCCCACAAGTGCAAAATGTGTGCATTCGTTGCACGGTGGGAGGGTCCTTCGAAGGGGGGACCTCGCTGGACACCTCGTTGAACTGTGCGATATTTTTTTCGCTCTCTTGGATGCGCGTTAGAGAGATCAAGGCATGTCTTGTTCAAAGCGTGACCATCGCCCAAATCCCAACCTTGCTGGTATTTGCGCCTTCTGTAGTGAGAAGGAGGACTCAGAGGGACGTGCGAGGATGATACTTCTGCCGGGAAGGAGTACTGCAGCATCGGTTGCGCATGTTTGATTCATTATGGTTTTCGTCCTTTTCCTCATCGTCGTCGTCGTCGTCCTCCTCCTCCTCCTTTCGTCGTCGTCCCTCTCCTCGTGTTCGCTCTCGTTGCTTCAGTGGCCCGGAGGAGTGCTTCACCCTGTCATGGGCTAAGATCCGCGAGCGGCGCCTGGGCGAGCTCCGCAACGCGAAGTCCAAGCTCGGCAGGCCTGGCCCCGACCGCCTCGTCCGCGCGATCCCGCGGCCGCGAGGAGCGTTGTCGTCGTCGCCGTCGCCGTCGTTGTCGTCGTCGTCGTCGTCCTCGTCGTCCTCCTCATCGTCCTCCTCGTCCTCCCCGTCCTCGTCCTGCTTGGTCCTCGTCGTTGTCCTCCTCCACTTCATCCTCCTCAACGTCCTCTGTCATCGTTGCGTCGTCGCTGCGTCGTCGTCGCGCCGTCGTCGTGTTGGTTCGAGCTTTGAGCTTCGAGGCTTCGGGTGCTTTCAGGGCCTCCAGGGGCGCTCTCGTCGCCGCGGCTGGATTCGAATTGAAATTCTTACCAGAACGCACCTTAGGAGAGGTTTGGGGGCTCGTTGTCGTCGTCGTGGTCGCGGCGTCGCGTCGTCCTCGCCCCACCCCC